ATCTTCCAAATGTTATATATTTCATTACAAAATATAAAAACATCTCATTCATTAATATCAATGCTAATCTCATCAAAAAAGTTTATGGATAGGAAAGCTGCTGACCTCATAGCAAGCTTGAGTTGTCATACATGCGTGTTTCCAAAAATTCTAATTTTCTCTTAAAGCTTGCTTTTTATGAGTGGCAATAAATATTATCAGTTGCTACCTTTGAAATGACAAGCTCATTTTATTGATTTTCCAGAAAACGTCAGGCAAGTACTAAGTCTGAGTGAGCATAATGTTCTTCATTTCATTAACTTTATCTTATTTTATCCAATTGCTCTTTTAAGTAAAAACCATGTTCTGTGAAGGAGGAAGCTGATTCAGTTGTCTACTCAATCATACACCTGGTTTGCCTTCAACAATTATCAGCTTTAGAACACAGCCAAAGACCGTATGTGCATTTCCTGTTTCATCAGCCAGAATGTTAAGACATGTACACAAGAGTGGAGATTCATTACCTTATGTAATTTGTACTGCTTCATCAAGGACATTCGTAATTGAGGATGGCTCTTCTTTTTCTGTACACGCATGACTACTAATACCATCTGCCTAGACTCATGCTGAGACACTAGCGGTCTTACCCACAAAATGGCAGCCCCAGAGGGAGAAGCACACCATCTCGATACAACGTTTAACATAGTTGTGACCTCTCAGAACCCCTAAAACCTTCTTGGGGACCCAAGAGGGTCTACTCTTGAAGAAATAAGCATTCTTTTCCTCAGTAGCCACAAAAGGTCCAACTAGCTTAGGGTCACTTAGCATCTTTCATTTGATAAATAGTCAGGTAACAAGTATACATCTGAGGTTCAGAGACCTGCAGTTTGTCAGAAATTGAACATAAAGACTGCATCAGGACAGTGCCTGTGGCTCAAAGGAGTAGGGCACCAGCCACATATGCCAGAGGTGGTGGGTTCAAACCCAGCCCTGGCCAAAAACTGCAGAATAAAAAGAAAGACTGCATCAGTTCTATGCAGACACCTTTCTGTGCAACATGATAGGAAGAATTCCAGGTATATTAGCCAGGGTTCTTAAAGGACTCAAACCAATAGAATGTGTGTCTACATGCACACATACACACACACACGTCCTATTCTATCTACTACATACAGGGACACATACACATCCTGTTTTTGTATAGTATATTATATGTTATTATTTATGTAAATATAGAGAGAGAGTGAGGAAGTGGGGTGGGAGGGAGAGAGAGCAAGTGAGAAAGAAAGATTTATTTTAAGGAATTGGCTCACACGATTGTAGAGCTTGGTGGAGTCCAGTTTGCAGGGCAGGCCAGTGGCCAGGAGGCTCACGGGAGAGCTGCAGTTCAAGTTGAAAGTCAGACTACTAGCGGAATTCTCTCTTCCTCAGAGTAGGTCAGTCTTTGTTCTGTGAGGCCCACCCACACTACAGAGGACAATCTGCTCTACTTCAAATTTACCAATTTAAATGTTAATCTCATCCAAAACACACCTTCACAGAAACAACTAGAGGAATATTTGACCAACTATCTGAGCACCACAGCTCAGCCAAGTTGTCATATAAAATTAACCATGAGGTCGGGTGAATTTAAAAATACTCCCCAAGATAGGCAACCCCTTAATCTGTGTCCGTCATCAGCACCCGAGCTTACCAGATGGTTTTATAAACAGCTGAATATAGTTGGGTACACATCCTCACCCAAAAAATTTGGAGGCGCCATACCCAGAAGGCTACCTGGTTTGGGTCTCTTAAGAGAGCAGGGTGCATGGGGTACCTTTGACCCTGAGTAAGTGGTCTGGTCTGATGATGGATTTGGGCCCAAGGCTGCCTACAGCATCCTGTGTTGCAATAATATCCCTGAGCTTGACCCCTCCAGGGCGTGTCCTTCAGCCTACCTTGAACCATCTGCCAGTCTCCACTGAGCCTCCATTCACCCTCCTGTTCCTCCACCCTCTGAGAAAGAGCTGCCCTTTACAACTGGACACCATGGCCCTTTCCCAGCCCCTTTCTTCCACTCCCACATGGCTTTTTTTCCTATGCTTTTATGTCCGACTATTTGCATAAGTGAAAGAGTCTCTTTTAAACTGCTTGTCAGTCCTACTCCTGTTTAACAACCTCTTCTGAAATAGTTCTCTTTCAATGTCTCTCTGGCCTAAGCAATTC